ATCACCGTGGAGGAGTAGGTGAAGCGACCCAGGCAACGGGGCTGGGAAAGCAACAGACCTTCGTGTTAGAGGTGTGGGCCCCTGACTTTTGCAGACCGACGAAACTAGGGGCCCACACCTCAAACCCCAGCTAAATTTGTGTTTTCAGCAATAGACTGGCGCTGGTGGCTCTCGTGTGTTCGATCTCCAAAACTAGGGGCCCACACCTCTAACGACGTTTCCTCTTGTATTTAAAAGGATTAGAGGTGCGGGCCCCTATTTCCGGAGAACTGTGGTCGGTTGGCTGTGGTGGGGTGGTGCGGGTGTGGCGGGGGTGTGGTGGGGGTGTGGTGGAGAACAAAAAGGCGTGACGAATGACTTCGTTTGCGGATGTGCATGCAAAGAAGCGCCCTAAACTGATGTGCACCCAAAAAAGCGCCCTAAAGCATATATGTGGTATATATGTGGTATATACATGGTATGTCAACCTCCCGAAAGTAAGGGCCCACGCCGTACGCTAGGGGCCCATGGGTTTTATCGTTGATTCATGGGCATCGCGAAGATGCCGGAGTGGTGCCAGAATACCAGCCATGTAGAACAGCTTTAAAGTGCAATGATCTACGAGAGTAAAGATCCAAGTCTGGAAGCATCACAGGAAGCCCGGGTAGCAACGATTCAGGGGCCTTCTTAGGGCCAGGTGAGGCAAGAAGAAGCGTGCACAATGTATCTTGACCTAATTATGCCAAGATTGCAAGAGCATGTGCGAGTCTTCATATCCACTTGGGGCTTTACAACGATGCACTCGCATCGATGCGTTCAGGTTAGAGCTTAAGAGGTCGAGGACAAAGTGCCACCTTATTCTCCTTGATTCAATCGCCCGCGAGCCGACACCCCAGACCTGGAGATTGAATCCGGATATCTCCGGACCTAGTACGATCCAGGTGGCTTTAGGGTTTGCAGCTGGTTCTGAGACGACAACAATCCTAGTGAGGTGGTCGAGTTCCACTGGCTTCAACACGAAGAGCAGCACGTTCAGTTCGTGTCCACGCTGCGACGTTTGAAGAAAGCGGGATTCCGAGTCGTGCCTGGGAAAACGAGCCTAGCGTGTCCCGTGCTAGACACCATAAACCCCTAATCAAATCGTAAGTTTTTGTCCTTGCAGTCTCATAGTCCTGATTTCCGGGCTTCAGACAGGCACAACACCGGGCCCGAGCTTAGGGTCTTGGTGGTTGTTCCCAACCAAGTCTTACATCTAGTGCTCCTCAACCCATCGGCAGGTCATTGAAAGAATTCGGCGCCAAGACATTCAGGGACTGATGTAGACATAGCCATTCTTAGTCCGCGCGAGATTGCGTGGCAGATCGCGCTTTAAGTTTTCTGTGTCCAGAAAGAGTTTGATCTGCAAGTGGAGCCTGATCACTAGACTTCTTACGCATTGAAGTGTGTAACTCCACGTGACAACTGGAGCATCCTAGGTGCACCTCCACGGCAACAACGCGGCTCCCATGTACGAATATGGCGATTTCCAGATACCCCATGTCCTGGAAGTCACCCTGGACTCGCAGGGCCCGGAGATACCTTGCGTCACCGCTGCTTGTCATGCCCTGATGCTAAATGTCGGTATTGGAGGGAGTCTCCTGTGGGCTTCCTGAGGAACGGGACAGCAATGGTGAAGCATTGTCTCTCCTGTACGATTGGGGAAAGAGTTCTCGCTTGTCCCAAGCCCCCCTTGACCGCTAACGTTCAACAGGCAGCCCTCAGTGTCAATAGTGTAAGTATCTGGGTGACATACCCAGACAGCCTGGAATTGTCCGCGCATTTTCACATTCGGTGACATTCATTCTCTTGGGTTCTTAAGGGGAATCCCAAATGACAAGAAGCCTTTGTCGGTACTTTCGCATAAGTAAATCTTACGAGCACATTTCTCAGCCATCATGACAATCTGACCCTGAACCTTAAAACCCTAAACCCCAAATCCCAAGCTGAACACCCTGTACCCAAAACTAGACCGTGGATCCATATCTCAGGACGAGGTGCGCTCGCCACTTGACCATCCCAACCTGGCGATGAAACCAGAGTTACCCTTGGCCCACCTACCGGGCTAAGGTTGCTAGAGGTGAAGCTGAAGGGTTCAGGGTTTAGGGTTGGGGCTGGGGTGGGCTACTGGGCCAGTCTGCCCTTTGGACCTGTGTGGGCTTTGGCCATCTGCAGACGAAAAAAGGGGCGCAGCTGAGCAGAAATCATGGAATGCCCGCCCCAAGGACTGCTGAAGCTCGAACTGCAAACCCACCGGCACAAACCCTCAGCCCTGAACCCCTTACGAGCCTTGCGCCGAATCTACCCCGTGTCGGACAGCCAAACACCGACCCCCGAAGCTCTAGAATTTTGGAGCTCTGAGACGCATGTGGGGCATACTTTGCTACAAACTCTAATGACGGTAAAGGGGGGCACAATTATATATATATATATATATATATACACGCACACATAAAAACAGAGAGATGCGCTGACGGCAGGCCGCCCATCGGCCCAGCGAAGCCAGGCTCGTCCCAAGGGCTTTGCCGTTCAGAACTCTCGTCAGAACAGTCTATGGCTCGGGATTCAGGGGTTTAGGGTTTTAGGGTTTTGGGGATTTAGGGTTTAGGGTTTATAGGGTTGAGGGAGAATAGTATGTGAAATTTGAGGTTACCCGTAGTTCATTGGGAGAGTCAGTCCATCATGAGGGAAGATTCAATGTCTTGCTGATCACTGGCCTCTTGGCAACAGAGAGGCTCCAGGGCGACAAGACCTTTTCCGGGTACGTCAGCATTTTGATGGATTAGGATGTACGATGGTGCAGATTATCAGGACTCACTCTGGGTTTGGGGCTCCCAAGCATCGTCGGGGTGAGGCGTGCCATGTGAGAGCAGCAAAACCAGCGGAGATAGTCAGTGCCGCACGCGATTTTTGGAGAGCTGGGTGGTAGCGGTGTTTGGTTTCGGAGCTTGTCGACGTTTTCCGTCGTCGGGCTTTGTCAGCTTTTGGAATACGGGGCACGTTTCCCAAATCCAGGTACCTGATGCCACCGAATCTGCGCGACCGACCTTTTTGGGATTGCACGAGCTTTCCGCCACTCGATGTATGAAATGTGATGCATGAACCTTACCTCCTCCTAAGACGGGTGATTCTCAGCAGAGTTTCGGGCATATGGGTCGAAGATGTCGCCCTTTCAAGAGCCTAAATCGCAACTGCTGTTCACGCCCTGGAGGCCAAGCCCCAGACTCCAAACTCTTGAGCTCCTAATCTCCTGAGATTCCCGAAATCCTACATCCGAGCACCCTCCCAAGAGTGGCCGGAGCAGACCCGAAGAAAGAAAGGGCTCCGTCTTCCATCTTGGGTTTAGGGTTTAGGGTTTAGGTTTTCGGTCAAGAGCTCAGTACTGGAAGTTTATGTCCCTCGGGATCCTTCGGGGCTTGGGGTTTAGACCGTAGGCTTCAGGTCGCCGATTCATCGACTAGCTTCCCTTTCCGAGGTGACCGCTTGGGGGGTGCCATGTTGGGGAGGGCAGTCTAAGAAGGACCCACAATCAACTATGCTTATGGGCCTCTACTACAACCCTCCGAACAGACCCCAAGCGCTCGGCTCATTCTGCCAAGTCCTTCGAGCATCTGGGCCATGCCTCCAAGGACCTACTGGTCTTCCAATGGCACGGCGGTGTGACTTGATTGAACTGGGAGTCAGACTGCCGGCTCCTTTTCCAAAGGTTCAGGGTTTAGGGTTTAG